CTTGCACATGCTAGGCAAGCTCTCTACCATTGAGTGACATCTCCAGTTCTCTCATTGGCTTATAGATGGTCATCTTCATTTAGCATTCTCTCTGCGTATATATGTATCCCCACATTTCCCCTTTGTATAAGGAAACACATTGTGTTGATTTAGGACCCACCCTGAATACTTCATTCTAACTTGACCTAAGCTGTAAATACCCTGACTCCCAATAAGTTCACATTCTATGGTGAGGGATTATGATTTCAACATAAGAATTTGGAATAGGGGTACACAACCCATCTCTGTCTTTTCCCTCTCATCCCTCCTCCTCCTCCTCCTCTTCCTCCTCCTCCTCATCCTTTTCTCTTTCTCCCCCTTTTCTACACACACACACACACACACACACACATTAGAAGAGAGTTCAGTAATTGATACATCTTTATTACTCTCACAGGCATTTTAATCCATGGATTTAAATATTCATGAAGCCATCATTGCATCACATTTCTAGAAAGTAGTATTCCTATCTTATCCTACCAAAGGCTTCACAAAGTTAACTGGTTTGTCCCACCCTAGAGATAATAGAACCACCTCCTATCCTCTCCACTCTCTACCTGTTTCCAGATTCCTAGAAATAGTATTCCATCCTATTCATTTTGCTTCTCTTTTATAATAGAGGAATATGACATATTTTAAAATGCATTTCAGAAAAAAACAATGAAATCCAAAAGAAGTTTGAAATTTAGTGAATAATAATGTATATTGAATATTGGTTCATAGTGATCATACCATAATGACATAAGAGTTAACAATAGAGGAATCATTACAAGTTATATTAAAAAGCAATAGTAATAAAAGAAGTGTGGTAGAAAAACAGAAATATAGACCATTAGGACAGAATAGATATCCCAGAAATAAATCTGTTCATATATGGTCAACTAATTTTCACAAGAGCTCCAAGAATACACAATCGGGATAGGTCAGACCTTCAATAAATGGTGTTAGAAAAAATCAAGATACATGAAAAGGAAACAATCACCAAATGAAAAGACAATCAACAGGGTGAGGGAAAATACTGGCAAATCATGTATCTACTCAGTTTCTGAGTTCACCTTTTTAGATTCCACATGTAAAGGAGAACATGCAGTATTTACTTTTCTGTGTTTGGATTATTTCACTTAGCAAAATTTCCTCCAGGTTCACCCATATTGTCCAAAAGGACAGGATTTTCTTCTTTTTAAGGCTGAATAATATTTCATTACATACACACACACACACACATATGCACATGTATCTCATCTAAGATAGATAAGGAACTCATGCAACTCAGTAAGAAACAAAATCAAATAACCCAATTAAAAAATAGGCAAAAGACCCAAATGGACATTTTTCTAGAGAAGATATACATATGGCCAACAGGTATATGAAAAAGTTTTCAACATCACTATCATCAGGGAAATGCAAATCCAAACCATAATGAGATATCATTTCAAACTTGTTAGAGTGAGTCAAATGATACTAAGAATTGGTGAGGATGCAGAGAAAAAGGAACCCTTCTAAATTATTGATGTGAATTGATCTAGCTGTTATGAAACACTTATTTAATTTTCCTCAAAAAATTAAAAATAGAATTGCCATGATACCCACTTCTGTGTGTGTGTGTGTGTCTCTGTGTGTGTGTGTGTGTGTGTCTGTGTGTGTGTAATGGTTATGTATATTCTGGAGAAAATGAAATTAGAATTTAAAAAAGTTATCTGCATCACCATGCTCAATGCACCATTATTCACAATAGCCAACATATGGAAACAACTTATGTCAGTGGATGAAAGTACATAGAAAATGTGGGATGTGTGTGTGTGTGTGTGTATGTAATGAAATATTATTCAGCCTTAAAAAAAAGAAAATCCTGTCCTGTTGGACAATATGGGTGAACCTAGAGGAAATTTTGCTAAGTGAAATAATCTAGACACAGAAAAGTAAATATTGGTGTGTCCTTTATATGTGGAATCTAAAAAAAGGTGAACTCAGAAACTGAGTAGAAGGGAGATTATCAGGGGCAGGGATTGGTCAAAATGTACAAACTTTCAGTTATGAGTAATTTCTGGAGATCTAATGCACAGCATGATGTCTATAGTTAATAATAGTATATACTTAAAATCTAAGAATATATCTTTTTTCATTTCATACAAAAAGATAATTAAGTGATAGATATGTTAATTTAATTGTGGTGATAATTTCACAGTCTATCAAAGCATCACACTGTTAAAATATTAAAATTGTATAAATATATACAATTTTAATATGTCAATCTTACTTCAATAAAGCTTGGAAAAATAAAAAAGGCTCAGGTTGTGGCTCAGTGGTAGAGCACTCGCCTAGCACATGCAATGTGCTGTGTTAAATCCTCAGCACCACATAAAAATAAATAAATAAAATAAAGGTATTGTGTCCAACTACAACTAAAAAATTAAAAAAAAAAAGAAAAACAACAGAGAAAACTGAGTGAGGTATATATGAGAATTCTTTGTATTATCTTTGTAGCTTTTCTGTAAACCTAAAACTAAAACTCTTCTAATAATAAAAAGGTTATTTAAGTAGGAAATTTATAATATAAAACAGTGTCTGGTACATATTAAACATTTCATGAATGTTGTGTTTAGAATAGTCGTATAAAATATATTGTTTTTAAATGTCATTGCTTATACATTTTTGTATAAAAGAACAGATTAGATATGGCCTCTAGAGGACAGTGTTGGGTCATAGAAAGATTTTTTAATATCTGCCCAGGGACTTAGCATTTTCTTCCTACTCTTTAACCAGAAGCCCTCTGTTTATATTCATTGTCCCTCTTTTATTTTTTTCTTTTCTTTGTATGGTACTAGGGATTGAACCCAGGAATGATTTACCAATGAACTATATCCCCAGTCCTTTTTAGTTTTTATTTTGAGACGTGGTCTTGCTAAATTGCCCAGGTTAGCCTTGAACTTGCGATCTTCCTGCCTCAGCCTCCCAAGTTGCTGGAATTGCAAGTGTGCACCATCCTACCCAGCTTCATTGTCCCTCTTTTTATAAAAGCTAAATGAAATGTATGCTTCTGTGCTACTCAGATTAATTGCAGATCTTCTTTTAAGTTAATATTTTTAATTAATTTTGGCTCCAAAAAAATCTATTAGGCAAGAATGACATGCAGAAGTTTCACTTTTGTGTTCAAATCACTGAGGGCTTGTTGTGAGAGAACCCAGGGAAGCAATATAAAGATATATTATGTGTCTTTTGTGAGTTCTCACATGATTGAGACAGAGTTATAGAAAAAGTAAAAATATTTTGTAAAATGACAAAGATAAATAAGAGTTTTAGTTTTGTGAAGGTTGAGATTCCCTGCTACACAGTGGTTTCTTAGGGGTTGGGGGGAAAGGAGGGACGTCATTGCTCTAGCTTTTGGAGCAAATTTCTGGTTAGAAGCTCAACATTATAACTTTAAGATTATTGCTCTGTAGGTAATCCCATGAGATTGACATTTTGTCTTTAAGAAGCTCCTGTGGCTGGGAGTTGCAGAGTGCTACTCAAGCACATCAGAGCCATATGAACACTAATTTACACAATGCTCACCTTGGTCCTATAGGCAGCTGAAGATAATTATTTATGTATTGATGGACTGAGAAATTCTGAAACATTGTCATTAGATGGGTTAAATTTTTACTGTTAGTGGAGTCTGAGGGCTTTACTCACACTAGGTGCAAATCTAGTATAAAAATTTAAAAAATAGTTGTCATTTGAATGACAGTGTGTTCTACTTAGCATCAACATATAGATTTCTTATTTTTTGCTCAAACGGTAAATTGTGAAAAGTCTCATCTGCTGTGGGGTCTATGAGCCTTTTAATAGGATTTTTGAAAGGGAGTGGAAAATTTATAGCTCCTCATAAATAGCCTGACATGAAAGTTAAAGTCACTCAGTGCTTTGTTTAGCCACTCCATCAGAGTTGAATCCATGAGCAGGGATCTGTTTCCTTCTCATCTAATCATGCTTGGTACCCAAAAATTCTTTCTCAAGAATAGTATTCTCATAATTTAGTTCTGTTAATCATGTAGGGATCTAGTAAATATAATGATTTAAGATGTGATTGTGTTCTTGAGGTAATTATTGGCCCCTAATCTGGTCCCTTATTCCATTCCTTGTCTCAGGGAAAGGCAACACTTTATCCCACTTGTGCAGGCCGGAATCCAGGGATTCATTCTGGACTCCTCTCTTTTTCTTATCCTTAGCCATATGGGTGCAGCACCAGGCCTATCACTTTTATTTCTTGCATTTCTTGTAACCATCCACTTCTCTCTGTATGGCCACCACTCTAATCTCAACCTTCATTGTATCTGCTTAAATCAACTAAAGAAGCCACCTCACCTATAACCAGTGTGATCTTTCAGAACACATCTATGAGGACTTCAGTGATTTTTCATTGTTCCTAGGACATTCCTGAATGATAAGGCACTGCAAGGTCTGGTCCCTGTATCTCTTACCAGCCTCACCTTGAAACATCCTCCTTGCTGCTCCCTGTGCTCAGCCTTATGGCTTCTGATGCATCACCACAAGAGTCACAAGAGTCCCAGAGCCTCCAGTTTTTTTGTTTTTTGCATGGTGTTTCTTTCCTGCTGTCTTTGAATTCTCATGAATGACTTCCCTGATTCCCTGGTCTAGAAAATTTCCTTTCTTATATGTTCCTATAGACCTGAGTTGCTTTACATCATTGTGCTTTAATGTATTTATAATTAGGCACTCATCATGTGGGTTTTTTGATTAATATATGTCTCCCCTAGTAGAATACTAGCTCTTATATATATATATATAAGATTTCTTATTTTTTGCTCAAACAGTAAATTGTGAAGTCTCATCATATCCAAAACCCTAGCACTTGGGCAAGAGTAGTTGCTCACTACATTTGTTGAATTAATAAATGTTTATATTGTTACTGCATGTTAGTAGAAGAAGAAATAAATATCTATATTGTTACTGCATGCTAGGTAGAAGAAGAAGAACCCACTGGATATATTCGATATGAAAAATTTCTTCCAGTGATGACCAAAGTACTTCTGGAAAGAAGGTAAGAAAGTAAAAACAATTTTAAGGCAAGGTAATGATTAGAATTACATTAATTTCAGAATACGTGGCTGTTTTATATTTTTCTCAACCAAAGTATCTCAGGGTAGCTTCCTTCTAACCTTTCAGTATAATTCTGAATGAACAGTTTGTTTGTGCTTAGAAATATCAACCACCATAATATTATTTGAAGCAAAGTATAAACAAAGGGCAAAGAGGCTATAAAAATCATAAATTGATATTCTAATTATCTTCTGTTTTGAATAATCGATCATAAATAAGAATTAATCCTGATTATTTTTAGCAAAATTTAACATAATGTAAAACTTACAAAGTTGGTTGATTTGTAGAAGTTTTGTTTCTAGGGAAATTGAATTCCATAATGATTAAACAAACAAACAAACTGATAGATAACACCAGACATGTCAGTGATTTTGAGCTAAGTATTTCCTGTCAGGGTAAAGTACTGGACACTTTCATACCCAGAAATCCAAGAAGGTTTCAGTGAGGGAAGTTTTATTATCCCAGTATGTTAGCAACTTTCATTTTGTTTCATGTGGTAATTTATTATGTAGAGACGAGACAAACAATCTGGCATTAACTCATTTTTATGGCATAATTATAGATATAGACCAATTCCAGAAGATGTCCTTCTTCGAGCTTTTGAGGTGTGTAAGCTCTAGATTATTCATATATAAATATGAAAATTTTGTCATGTAGAACTTATTCATACATATAAAATCTACCATTTCCCCTAGGTTTTAGATTCTGCTAAACGTGGGTTTCTTACTAAGGAAGAACTCATCAAATATATGACTGAAGAAGGTAAGATTGTTTTATTACTTATAACATGATTTATGTAAGGGATTAATAATTTTTAACAGTTATGCAAAAGTTATAGGGGATACTTTAAAATCAGTCATTCTGGTTAGAAAGAGTTTACTATTCCCATTATTTTGATTTTTGGAATGGTTTTTATTTTATTTTATTGGGTGTTAAGAGAACAAAGGTAAGGTAAGGTGAGATGGATGTTGCCTCAGAGGATTTTGTATAACCTCTATAAATTGTAATCACTTCACTCAGTATTTTGAGAATAAAAGGTATGTCACCTGGAAAACTTAACTGTCTGTCACTATAAATCAGTGCCTTTACTGATAGAAGATTTGAATTGAAGTATATAAAAATTCTTTTTTCAAGAGCTTTTCTAGAGGCTGGGGTTGTGGCTCAGCAGTAGATAGCTCACCTAGCAACAGCAGGGTGCTAGGTTCGATCCTTAGCACCACCTAAAAATAAAATAAAGGGATTGTAATAATGGGCTTTGAACATAGACTACACACATATACACAAAAAATAATTTGTTTAGAATGTCTCTCTGCCAGTGTGTAAATTGGTTTCCCATGAATGTCAACAGCCTGATAGACAGTCTCTGGAAACGATTGTCATATTGCTTGCCTCCCCTGCTCCCACATAAAGCTAAGAGTTTTGTCTCCTTTGTTCAGTTCACTGGTTCACAGATAAGTCCTGAATGATTCAGAGTCATTAATCACTTGAGACAAGATCAAAAGTAGGAGTAATTTTGAGTAGGGAAGACTAAGACACTGTCTACATGCACAACTGGTTTGACCATTTTGACTTGATCCACCATTAGGTAAGAATACAGGAAGTAAGAGTAAGAATAACATGAAAATCACAGCTGCCATTCAAGAACTCCTATGACATTGCTAAAATCATCTTAGGGATTAACTTTGATGAGAATGTTGTGACTTTCAAAGCATTAGCCTCTTAATCCTAAGGATTAAAGGAAGTAAATCCTACATTATATTAGGCAACATGAATTTAGTCAGAATGGCCAAAACAGTTCAATTTAAATAATATCCTGTGTCTATTATATGTTCAGTATTATTAAGTGCAGTGAGGGGTAATGATACTAAAAGGATATTAGTATGATTCTCAAGGATATTACAATCTTATTGGGGAAACAAAGCTAACTTATTAAGTCACAATATAAGATAGTAGGAAAATATCAGAAGATCAATACAGTCTAGAACAGTCTAGAAAACTTGGCTTGAGAAGATTTAAAGAGAAAATAAGTTCCTTGAGAAGGTAGAATTTACATGGATGAGTTGTTGAGGCCAGGGATAAAATCTTATGTATTATAGTACCCTCACATATAGTAGGTCTCAAATTAATTATAAAAAATTAACTATGAATTAATGAATGAATGAGTAATTGAATAAAAATAGATGAAGGCTGATGAGAGGGAAACATTATCAGCAAAATATGGAGCAAAAACTGGGAGGCAAGAATGCACGTGGCATTTGTAAGCCTGAGAAAGGACAGGCTGAGCTGGCCCAAAGGGTCTTGTTGGAAAACAATAGGAGATTAATTTAGATTGATTGGCTGGGACTAAATCATAGAGGTCTGGGTTTAGAAGTTTGGGATTTATCCTGTGGGAAATTGCAGAAGTGTTCTGGGGTTTTGAGGAGATGAGTCATATAGTGCAAGAGCCATTGTGGGAAAGTTATTCTGGTGCTGGTAGGTTTGTTAGATAAGTGAGAAAGAGGTTAGACTAGGAAGATCAGTTAGAGAACTATTTTGGTATTTTGAAGGTCCCCAAATAAGTGCCTGACTTGACAATGGGAATAGAAAGAAGGAATAGGTGCAATGCAGTAGGCCTATCTACAGCAGGATCCATGGGTCATGATGAATAACAAAAGACAGGGGACCAAGATGGGAACTAAGTAAAAAATAAAAAGATTTTGACCTGGGTGATGGTTGTTAAGGTAATACTACTGACTGAAATAGGGAAATCAGGAACAGCAATGTATACAGACACAGTGCAATTGTGTGGTTTACTTGGGTGGATAATAGCATGCTTTCGAACCTCTGGACTGTCATGATGTACTGATGTGGCTCCAGGGAAAATAACTGTGACATGGGGTGGGGTTACTCCATGGCAAAATTAAACTGGCTAGTAGAGAGAAAAAGAAATAAGACAATTGTGAATAAATTTCCCTTCTTGTCTCTTTCAGGTGAGCCTTTCTCCCAAGAAGAAATGGAAGAAATGTTGTCTGCTGCAATCGATCCAGATTCAAATTCAATTAATTACAAGGAGTATATAGCAATGATGGTGATAGACGAAAATTAAATGTTTTAAAACCTTAATTTCTAATTGAAAAGATAGTTTGAAAATGGCTTGTCCTAATTAATTTTGCATTTTATTTTGTAATTCTTTTATCTGATATCAATGCCTGTGACATGATTATTTCAACATATTTTGTTTTCTAAAGATGATCATAACAAAAATTCTTTTTTAGTACTGGGAATGGAATCCACTGAGCTTCATCCCTAACTCTTTTTACATTTTTCATTTTGAGACAGGGACTCACCAACAGGCTGGCCTCAAACTTGCAATTGTCTTGCCTCAGACTTCTGAGTAGCTGGGATCATAGGTGTGCCCTGCTCACCTGGATGATCATAATAATGTTAAATTAAACATGTCCAGACTTATGGAATGACATACTACTAATTACTTAAAAACTAATCTTAAGACAGTTTAACATTAAAATAGATTATTGTTAATTTTCTATAATAAACATGTTACCTTTTAATTAACTAAACTGAGAAAATTAATAATAACTATAATGAGCCAAGGTTTGGCATATAAAGATCTTGAGAGAGGGCAGAATGACCACAAATTGAAAATGAGTATCAGTGTGATGAAGGCTTCTTTTTAAAGAACAATAAACACTTCAGTAATCTGAATGTGAAAGGTGACTTATTGAAATCACTATTAATAATTGATTCTTTTTTTTATTAAATTATTTATTCTGATTTGTTTTATATGACGGCAGAATGTAATTCATTTCATATTACATATATAGAGCACAATTTTTCAAGTCACTGGTTTTACACAAAGTATTTTCACACCATTCATGTCTTCATACATGTACTTAGGGTAATGATGTCTAACTCATTCCACCATCTTTCCTACCCCCATGCCCCCTCTTTTCCCCTCCCTCCCCTTTGTTCTATCTAAAGTTCCTCCATTCCTCCCATGCTCCCTCCACCATCACCATTATGGGTCAGCATCCTCATATCAAAGAAAACATTTGGCCTTTGGTTTTTTGGGATTGGCTTACTTCACTTAGCATTTTATTCTCTAACTCCATCCATTATCTGAAAATGCCATGATTTTATTCGCTTTTAATGCTGAGTAACATTCCATTATTATATATACCAAAGTTTCCCTATTCATTTATCTACTGAAGGCATCTGGGTTGGTTCCACAGTTTAGCTATTGTGAATTGTGCTGCTGTAAACAATGATGTGGGTGTGTCCCTGTCCTATGCTGTTTTTTTAAGTCCTTTGGGTGTAAACTGAGGAGTGGGATAGCTGGGTCAAATGGTGGTTCCATTCCAAGTTTTCGAAGGATTCTCCATATTGCTTTCCTATTGGCTACACCTATTTGCAGTCCCACCAACAATGTGTGAATGTGCTTTTCTCCCCACATCCTCTCCAACACTTATTGTTGTTTGTATTCTTAATAGCTGCCATTCTGACTGGAGTGAGATGAAATCTTAGAGTAGTTTTTTTTTTTTTTTTTTGCATTTCTCTAATTGCTAGAGGTGTTGAACATTTTTCATGTATTTGTTGATTGATTGTGTATCCTCTTCTGAGAAGTGTCTGTTCAGTTCCTTGGCCCATTTATTGATTGGGCTATTTGGTTTTTTTTTTTTTTGGTGTTAAGATTTTTGAGTGCTTTATGCATCCGAGAGATTAGTGCTCTATCTGATGTGCTTGTGGTAAAGATTTGCTCCCATTCTGTAGGTTCTCTTCTCACCTCACTGATTGTTTCTTTTGCTGAGAAGAAGCTTTTTAGTTTGAATCCATCCCTTTTATTGATTCTTGGTTTTATTTCTTGTGCTATAGGAATCTTATTAAGGAAGTTGGGGCCTAATCTGACATGATGAAGATTTGGGCTTACTTTTTCTTCTATTAGGCGTTGGGTCTCTGGTTTAATTCCTAGGTCTTTATCCATTTTGAGTTGAGTTTTGTGCATGATGAGTGATAAGGGCTTAATTTCATTTTGTTGTGTATGGGTTTCCAGTTTTCCCAGCACCATTTGTTGAAGGAGGTTATCCTTTCTCCAATATATGTTTTTGGTGCTTTTGTCTAATATGAGATAACTGTAATTATGTGGGTTTGTCTCTATGTCCTCTGTTCTGGTACCATTGGTCAACAAGTCTGTTTTGGTGCCAATACCATGCTGTTTTTGTTACTATTGCTCTGTAGTATAGTTTCAGGTCTGGTATAGTGATGCCACCTGCTTCACTCTTCTTGCTAAGGATTGCTTTATGTATTCTGGGTCTCTTATTTTTCTAAGTAATTTTCATGATTGCTTTTTCTATGTTTTATGAGGACTGTCATTGGGATTTTGATTGAAGTTGCATTGAATCTGTATAGTGCTTTTGGTAATATGGTTATTTTGACAATATTAATTCTGCCTATCCAAGAACAAGGAAGATCTTTCCATCTTCTAAGGTCTTCTTTAATTTCTTACTTTAGTGTTCTGTAGTTTTCATTGTAGAGGTCTTTCACCTCTTTCGTTAAATTGATTCCCAAGTATTTAATTTTTTTTTTGAGGCTATTCTTGTTTTTTTTTAATAAACCATATTTTTTATTGGTTGTTCAAAACATTACAAAACTCTTGACATATCATATTTCATACATTTGATTCAAGTGGGTTATGAACTCCCATTTTTACCCCTTATACAGATTGCAGAGTCACATCGGTTACACATCCACGTTTCTATATATTGCCTTACTAGTGATTGTTGTATTCTGCTACCTTTCCTATCCTCTACTATCCCCCCTCCCCTCCCCTCCAATCTTCTCTCTCTACCCCATCTACTGTAATTCATTTCTCTCCCTTGTTTTTTTATTTTTTTCCCTTTCCCCTCACATCCTCTTATATGTAATTTTGTATAACAATGAAGGTCTCCTTCCATTTCCATGCAATTTCCCTTCTCTCTCCCTTTCCCTCCCACCTCTCGTCCCTGTTTAATGTTAATCTTTTTCTCATGCTCTTCCTCCCTGCTCTGTTCTTAGTTGCTCTCCTTATATCAAAAAAGACATTTGGCACTTGTTTTTTAGGGATTGGCTAGCTTCACTTAGCATAATCTGCTCTAATGCCATCCATTTCCCTGCAAATGCCATGATTTTGTCATTTTTTAGTGCTGAGTAATACTCCATTGTGTATAAATGCCACATTTTTTTATCCATTCATCTATTGAAGGGCATCTAGGTTGGTTCCACAGTCTAGCTATTGTGAATTGTGCTGCTATGAACATCGATGTAGCAGTATCCCTATAGTACGCTCTTTTAAGGTCTTCAGGGAATAGTCCGAGAAGGGGAATAGCTGGGTCAAATGGTGGTTCCATTCCCAGCTTTCCCAGGAATCTCCATACTGCTTTCCAAATTGGCCGCACCAATTTGCAGTCCCACCAGCAATGTACAAGTGTACCCTTTTCTCCACATCCTTGCCAGCACTTGTTGTTGTTTGACTTCGTAATGGCTGCCAATCTTACTGGAGTGAGATGGTATCTTAGGATGGTTTTGATTTGCATTTCTCTGACTGCTAGAGATGGTGAGCATTTTTTCATGTACTTGTTGATTGATTGTAGGTCCTCCTCTGAGAAGTATCTGTTCAGGTCCTTGGCCCATTTGTTGATTGGGTTATTTGTTTTCTTATTGTTTAATTTTTTTAGTTCTTTGTATACTCTGGATATTAGGGCTCTATCTGAAGTGTGAGGAGTAAAGATTTGTTCCCAGGATATAGGCTCCCTATTTACCTCTCTTATTGTTTCTCTTGCTGCGAGAAAACTTTTTAGTTTGAGTAAGTCCCATTTGTTGATTCTTGTTTTTAACTCTTGTGCTGTGGGTGTCCTATTAAGGAATTTGGAGCCCGACCCCACAATATGTAGATCAGAGCCAACTTTTTCTTCTGTCAGACGCAGAGTCTCTGATTTGGTATCAAGCTCTTTGATGCATTTTGAGTTAACTTTTGTGCATGGCGAGAAAAAGGGATTCAGTTTCATTTTGTTGCATATGGATTTCCAGTTTTCCCAGCACCATTTGTTGAAGGTGCTATCCTTCCTCCATTGCATGCTTTTAGCCCCTTTATCGAATATAAGATAGTTCTAATTTTGTGGATTGGTCTCTGTGTCCTCTATTCTGTACCATTGGTCCACCCGCCTGTTTTGGTACCAGTACCATGCTGTTTTTGTTACTATTGCTCTGTAGTACAGTTTGAAATCTGGTATCACTATACCTCCTGATTCACACTTCCTGCTTAGAATTGCTTTTGCTATTCTGCGTCTTTTATTTTTCCATATGAATTTCATGATTGCTTTATCCATTTCTACAAGAAATGCCTTTGGGATTTTGATTGGCATTGCATTGAACCTATAGAGAATTTTTGGTAATATCGCCATTTTGATGATGTTAGTTCTGCCTATCCATGAACAGGGTATATTTTTCCATCTTCTAAGATCTTCTTCTATTTCTCTCTTTAGGGTTCTGTAGTTTTCATTGTATAAATCTATCACCTCATTTGTTAGGTTGATTCCCAAGTATTTTTTTTTTTTTGAGGATATTGTGAATGGGGTGGTTTTCCTCATTTCCATTTCAGAAGATTTGCCGCTGATATACAGGAATGCCTTTGATTTATGCGTGTTGATTTTATACCCTGCCACTTTGCTGAATTCATTTATTAGCTCTAGTAGTTTCTTTGTAGACCCTTTTGGGTCTTGTAGGTATAGGATCATATCATCCGCAAATAGTGATAATTTAAGTTCTTCTTTTCCTATCTTAATGCCTTTAATTTCTTTTGTCTGTCTAATTGCTCTGGTCAGTATTTCGAGAACTATATTGAATAGAAGTGGTGAGAGAGGGCATCCCTGTCTTGTTCCAGATTTTAGAGGGAATGCCTTCAGTTTTTCTCCATTTAGAATGATGCTAGCCTGAGGCTTAGCATAGATAGCTTTTACAATGTTGAGGTAAGTTCCTGTTATCCCTAGTTTTTCTAGTGTTTTGAACATAAAGGGATGCTGTACTTTGTCGAATGCTTTTTATGTGTCTATCAAGATGATCATATGGTTCTTATCTTTAAGTCTATTGATGTGGTGAATAACGTTTATTGATTTCCATATATTGAACCAGACTTGCATCCCAGGGATGAATCCTACTTGATCATGGTGCATGATCTTTTTGATATGTTTTTGTATCCGATTTGCCAGACTTTTATTGAGGATTTTTTCATCTAAATTCATTAGGGATATTGATCTGTAGTTTTCTTTCTTTGAGGTGTCTTTATCTGGTTTGGGAATCAGGGTGATATTGGCCTCATAGAATGAATTTAGAAGTTCTCCTTCTTTTTCTATCTCCTGAAATAGATTGTAGAGTATTGGTATTAGTTCGTCTTTAAAGTTCTTGTAAAACTCTGCTGTATATCCATCTGGTCCTGGGCTTTTCTTGGTTGGTAGTCTTTTGATGGCTTCTTCTATTTCCTTACTTGATATTGGTCTGTTTAGGTTGTTTATATCATCCTGACTCAATCTGGGTAACTCATATGTCTTAAGGAATTTATCAATGCCTTCACTATCATCTATTTTATTAGAGTATAGGGTTTCAAAATAATTTCTAATTATCTTCTGTATTTCTGAATTGTCTGTTGTGATGTTGCCTTTTTCATCCTGTAAGCT